CGACAACTGTGTGCACAACCAGAAACAACTTTCTAATCATCTTATTTAAGTGGTTAGACTTAAGCCTACATAACGGGAAGATACCTACTGTTTATTATGTGTGGTCCTAATGACTGCTGAGTTTTGATAAGTTTTAGAAACTTTTTATCCAATACTAGGAAATCTGAAGTTCTGCCAAAGAATGTCTGTTTTACTCTTTATCTGCCCTACTTTCATATACAGCTATGGTTGAATTTCTAGTCTAGAGTAGAAACACTTGAATGTATGTGGTATGATCAAAATGTATGGTAAATGTTTTAATCTAAAAATTATATTACAGTAAAAGACACATTGCCATTAATCCCCCTCGAGATATTCCCTCTTTCTTGAAACACTTAACCCATCATTCTTGCCTTTTTTTTTTTTTGCTTTGTAATCAGTATATTAAGGAGACATTCATACATTTCAGCAATTGCTTAAATTCTGATACCCAGATTTAAGCATGTGAACATGACTTAAACACACAAGTAAAGCTGTTCATCATTATTTGCTGTACTATTACCATTAAATTACAGTTACTTTGGAGCATAAGTCAAATGGGTTAAAGTAAGCCTGTAACATACCTAAGGAACACCTTCTTATATTACACATGCAAATTAGCTTTCCATGTAGTCTCTTCACTTTAATTTCAAAGTTACCCATTTATTTCAAAGCTCTGAAGTCACTACTCAAAGGCTTATCATGGTCCAAAAAGAAGGGAAAAAGAATATGAGCAGGACTGGTGAACATAGTTTTGTGTGTGTGTGTGTGTGTGTGTGTGTGTGTGTATTTAAAAAGATGGCACAACAGAAGGGAATGCAATCCTAGAAATGCAAACCCTTAAGAAGCAGCTTTATTTTGATAAACCCCTTCATCAGAAAAGTATCATTTCTATTACTGATACCACAGGCTAAATTATATTTTATGCCACCTTCAAGTAATAGTTGAGGCAGTAGAATGCAGAGACATCACAATGAGTACCACTTAATACAAATTAACTAGACAGAACAACACTTCTACAAACTGTTTCCTTTTTCTGATTGCCAGTTAAGTACAGTTTTAATCCGTAGCTTAACAAGAAAGGGTTATACACTAAAGTCAACACATATACCTAGCATTTCAGTCTAAGCTTGTCCATGTATACAACTACAATCAGTTACAAGGTGTGGCCTACCAGACACCAGGGTTAGGTACTTTTTACAGGCATTAAACTTCATCTTGCACACTGAAGTCATCATACATACAGGGCAAAGTTGGAGCTTTTATATTTGCATTTATTCTTCATTTAACTTTTAAAACACTACTGTAATTGAATATTGAAACAAAAATAATAGCAAGTAGTGAGCAAATGATGATTATAGTCCTTTGTGTGTTCACTACTGCACACAAAATGCCAGCAGTGAGTATTATTCACTGCCCCATTAAGAGGTCTGACACTGAACACCATCCCTGGGATGATGTTCGTCATCCTCATAGGCTTCTCCATTATAATGGCACCCTCATTCCTGATTTGGATCAAAGTCCACGAGTTCTACCAAGATCTACCTGATTTCATCCGTCTCTTCAACTTCCTTCCTCTCAGGTAGGAGTTTTTCCAGCAAAGAGAGTTTTATCCGGAGAGAGAAAGCCATTTTCAGAAAAGTTTACCTTAAATTTGATAATTAGACGACCCTTTTCATATGGTCTACGATAAATTGGCATGCCTTCATTTAGCACACACTTGATGTCTCCATGCTTGACAATCTGACCTAGATGAGAGGTGATGACTATGGTTCGGTTATCAAGAGTGGATATGGGCTTTTGAAAGCCACACAGTGCTTCAACCAGCTGTATATCCATATATATGAAAAGGTCGTCTCCTCATGGAGTGAAAACAGCATGGTTTCTGATCTAACACAATGATAATATCTCTGGCTCCAGTCCTGGTTCTTGGTCTCCTTCACCATGGAATGTTAACTTCTGGCCATCTTTCATGCCTTTGTCAATGTGAACTTCTAGAATCTCCTCTCTAACTATCTTCCATCTGCTGCAGCTTTTACATCTGTCTTTAGGACTGATGCTTTCTCTGTGGCCCTGGCACTCCATGCACACAGACTGAATTTGCTGAACCATTCCAGGTCCTATCTGATGAATTCTTATTTGCATTCCAGTACCTCGGCATTTGAGAAAGCACTCACACATTTGTCACAAATCACGTTCTTTTGCAGAGCCAGTTTCCTTGTTGCACCATTATATACATCTTTTAAGGTATCCAACCGAGAACTGATGTACCACATTTTTACCTCTCCTTTCTCTCTGCGTCCTTCCTCCTCCTCCAAAAAACATATCAAAGATATCTGTGGGGGAGCCAAAACTACCACCTGCTCCACCCTCCTTAATTGCCTATTCTCCTTTGTCATATAATTCCCTTTTCTTGGCTTCAGAGAGAACTTCATAAGCTTGAGAAATCTGTTTAAACTTTTCTCCTTCATTTGGATTCTTATCAGGGTGGTACTTCAAAGCCAGTTTCCTATAAGCCTTTTTCAATTCTTCTTGGGTGGCATTGGGTTTAACCCCCAAAACATCTTAGTAAGTGGTTTCTTTCACCATTTTCACAGCTGGTGAGTGGGCTGGGCCAGAGTGGGGGAAGCGGGAAGGAGAGCTTAGCAGTGCACAGCTCTGGCAGCCACCGCTCCTCCACCTCTCAGCACATTCTGGAAAGTTCTGATTCTTGCCATTTTCTGAAGCAGTTCTGGAAGTCCTCTTTTGTGAGCATCTTTACAAGGTAAACATACAGTGAATGCTGCTGCTGAGTCCCATCCAGTGGAAGGTTAGTCTTGTATAAACATTATGGTGTGCCCTCATTTTATTTACCAGATATGACACTGTGTAACTTCTGACTCCTCCACAAAGTCAAAATGACCATGAAAATTAAACATTTTGAAGGGATTTAGAACATCTAGGTGGCCAGGAAAGCACAACTGAAAACAGCCATGAAAGTGGACTCCCTGAACTGTTTCAGAAACTGTCAAGAATGATGGGATACATATGATCAAAATGAGCAGGACTATTTTGAGGGCAATTAGTGACATGTCTTTTACTCTAATAAGTGGTTTTAATCATTCACCATTTTTTAAAATTACACCCTGTATTGGTCCTTAAAGGTTTGAGTTCTTGGAGTTGAAAATAGCAGATTAAAAACTGCCATGTTTGGCACCTGCAATCCCTGGCCATTAAGCCAGATCTCAATGAAAGCTGTTGCTGAAAGGGAGGGGTGTGTACACTGACTCAGTCCTCATGGGCTTATCAGAATCTAGAACACTTATGCGCTGAATACTTCTCTGCAAATTTCTAGGCAGGAAAAGTATTGTGTTCTTGCTAATTGTTTAGTGGTTATATTTTGTGCCAGATTAGAGCATTTCAGGATCTCCTTGGGAGAAATGTTCCTAGATATTTATACAATCAAACCATTCATTATTGATCCCCATATCTGCCAGGTTTCTAGGAGCCAACCTTTATAAAGAGGTTCACACCTCCTCTACTAAGGGAAAATGTACCCAAGAGTTACTCCTCCTGTGACCTTTGTTATCTTGGGGTAAATTATGCTGTGATAGCAAATGACCCTAATTATAATGACTTCAAACAACAAAGGTTATCTCTTCCTTGCCCTGTTTATACATCGTGGGTCGGTTATGACTCTTCCACGTTATCTTCATCCTGGGACCCAGCGTAACAGCACTTCCCTACTGGAACAAGACTAGATGCGTGACCAAAGGTGTTGGGTGGAAGGGAGAACATAATCTTGAACTGTTACTGAAAGTGTCCTGTCAAAAGTGGCATATAGTGCCCAGGATTTAGCTCAGTGGTTCCGCTGCCTGCCTCGCAAGCTCAGGGACCTGAGTTCGATCCCCAGTACCAAAAAAAAAAAAAAAAAAGAAGGGGGCATATACCATTTCTATCCACATTTCATTGGCTAAAATCCATGGTCAAGCCTGCTTGTCAGCCAGGGGAAGGCAAAGAATATTTTAAAACTCTAATACACTTCTACTTTCTCGAGATACTACAGCTTGAATGTTAGGCATGCGTTGTCAGTCAACGAAAGTGATTACACCCTAGATGAAATGTATGTCTGAATACCACAGCAGTAACCATGTGGGGTGGCATAGCAACTGTCAGCTCTCTTATCTGTTCTTCCTCAGTGAAACAGTTATCTTTCCCCTAAGGACTTCCTGCCATCTGAGACAGATAATAATTCCAATGATGGTCAGTGCTCTTAACAAGAACCATTTTACCATATGCTGTTCTTTCAAACTTAACTTCCAAGAATGCTTGCTTCCTAAATTGAACCACCAGTTCCCCCTTCTGGCCTTTGTGGAAAACACAAGTAATGTTCTATACTGTGCGTGTTCTTAGAAGCTACAATTTCTAGCTTGAAATTTCTCCTATAATTCTTAGCTGGATGTATTCCTGCTACCACAAACTGAAGTTTATGCTATCTAATGTTAGTTGAATTTTTGGTGAAATATCTTCCAGTATTTCTTCCAGTTTTGTCTCTTCATTGATCACCCACCTCAACATTCTTCTAGTCCTTGTCACATTAATGAGTTCATTACTCACATGAGCCATGTTAAAGAGAATAGGCCACTTACTTAAATTCTTTATAGACTATACAAGTGTTTCATTTGGAACACTCTACTTCTCAATTTGATTTCTCTTTACCTGCCTTATTTTCAAGCTACCTGTGACTCCACTATGAAAACCTTAGAAAAATCTTTGGGGAAAGATATATAGTATGATAACAAATTAATAAATATTTCTATAGGAATACCTTTGAAGTAAAGTAGGAATCAGATTTGTCACTTTAAAGGCAAGAAATTTTTTATTAAGAAGGAGTACTCACAAATAAATATGGTCCTTAAAGCCTATCTTCTACTACACATTATAGATACTATTTTAAAAAATAATTTATAAAAATTTAATTTTCCCCTCTTTTTATTATCTAGATCACAGGAGACTCCTGAAGATGGACAGCCTCCAGCTTTACCACCCAAACAATCTAAAAAAACCAGTTGGAACCAAATTCATTATTCCCAGTCTCAGCAAGATCTGGAAAACCATACTAATGAAACATTTGATGTTCCGTCTTCACCTGAAAAGTCTACTGTAAGCAACTTCTTCAGATACTCCCATTTTTCAAGTTTTAAACCCTAAATGCAATTTATTTTGTATTACAGTATGTTTTAGTTGTAACTTACAACTTTCTCTTTTACTCGCTCACTTTCAGTATTAAAGATTGAACCCAGAACCTCATGCATGCTAGCCAAGCACTCTACCACTGAGTTAGCTCTTCATTTAAATATTATTTTGAGACAGGGGCTTGCTAATTTTCCCATTTTGTCCTTAAATTTATTCTTTTCCTGCCCAGCCTCCAGAGTAGCTGGGATTATAAGTATGCACCACTGTGCCCAGATAGCACTTTCTCTTTTTTATCACATTCTTTGGTCATGAGTTGTAGTATAAGATATCACAGTTGTGGAGTTTTCTTCTTCATTTACAAAATGCCTATTGCTTTAGAAGTTAGAATTATTGACAAATTATGTTTACGTTGGTGTTGCATAACATACCTACACTTCCAGAACAAATGCTAATATTGGTAATCTATTAAATACCCTTAATTTTGCTATATAATTCCTTAATGCAGAGACTTTATCTTTTCATCAGTTGTTTGAAATTAAATACGGTTCTTGAAGTGTATGTTCACTCTGTGTTTTACAAAATAATTTATGAATTGTTTTAGTAATTTTGCCATAGAGAATATGCGTTAAAACCATAATAAACTGGTAAGTTGTTAGAATACTCTGGTTTATCAATTTTCATTGGTTTCTGAAGTGGATTTACTGTGAGATTACCAGCTTATTGTAAGGATACACTGTTCCTGAAGAAATATAAAGACAAATAAATACAAGTAATTTCAGCAACTTTAAAAGCCATCAGGAAATGAAATAAGATGGTAAGAGAGGCAGGTCCACAGCAGATATTGGCATGCCTTTAGTAGCCACTGTACTCATTGCCTTCTCATTTTTTCACTCATAGCCTCTTGCATTATATGAAGTTGAAAATCAAAAGGCAACCATTCTATTCTCCTACAGTTACTTCCTCACTACCATGGACATATCAAAAAAAGATCAGAACCCCCAGATTATCACAATCCTGTGCGTTGACTCAAGTGTATCATTTATTCATGCATTCATTCATAGTTATTAGGCTCCTAGTGAGTGTGAGACACATTGATTGATGGAAGTAGACATACAAAGATAAGTAAGACATGTTTAAGTCCCTGCTGTTTTAAAATTTATAATCTAATTTGTCTCTATATTCAAAAATTACTTTGGAGCACCTGCTATGTGGCATGCACACATTTTTACAGGCTCTGGGGACATTATCAAATAATATATGAAGGAAACAACCCTCTGCCTTCAAAGAACTTATATTCTGAGGATAAATAATAGGTTAAACGATTTAAATATATAGTAATATTACATAGTATAAATAAAGCAGGAATTAGAAAATTTCAGTAATATTGGACTTTTAGATAGTTTAATATGGACAAAGAATAAACTTAGTGATTTGCTATGTAAATATCTTGTGAAGAGCAAGAAAGCTAAGAGAGTAACAGGTACAAAGATAGTGTCTTAGAGTGTTTTCCATTACTATAACTGAATAACACAGACTGGATAATTTATAAAAAATAGAGCTTTATTTAGTCCATGATTCTAGAGGCTGAGAAGTCCAGTAACCTGTTGCCACCTCTGATAAGGGCCTTTCTGATGTATCATAACATAGCATCATATGGCAAGGCATAAGCAACATGCTAACTCAGGACTTTTTTTGTTATAAAGCCACCGATGTTGTCATGGGGTCCCCAAACTCAAGACCTCGTCTAATTTTATTTTTCCCCAAAGGTCACACTTCCCAAATACTATTAATCCATGAATTTGAGGTTCATTTTCAAATGAGAACTTTTGATGAACACATTGAAACCATAGTGCAGGATTATGATGGATATAATCAAGGAACATCAGTGGACAGTGTGACTAGAAGAATATGAGCAAATGAGATAAGCTAGATCCTAAAGTCTTCTATTGTAAGGATTTTCCTTTTTAACCTGAGTGAGATAGGAAGCAAATGGACATATCTCAGGAGAGAAGTATCATAATGTTACTTACATGGTAATAGTATCTCTCTGGCTGTTGAACTGAAAATAGACTGAAAGTGAGGCAGAAGCAGATGTGCTGGTTGTAAGGTTTTGCAATATTCCCTGCAAATGAGTAATGGTGATTTAGAGTAGAATTATGGCCGTACAAGAAATAAGATCTGACTCTTCTGACATATTCACACCATATGCCAGTGAATCAAATATGAAATAAAAGAGAAATCAAGTAATGTCAATGTTTTTAGCCTGACCAGTTAAAAGGGTGACACTGGAAATTATTGAGATGTAAAACACTGCAGATGGAGCAGGTGCAGCTAGAGTATCAGGACTTCAATTTGATACATGCTGAGTTTGAGTTTCCTAGTAGGAGTTCGTTTGGAGATGAAGATGGACTAGAAGTGAGAGATCTGAGGTAGTTATAGGTAGCTGGTGGCATATAGTTAATATTTAAAATCAGAAAACAGAAATCACCAAGAAAGTGTATGTAGATGTTTAAGAGGTCTTACTTAGAGTCTTCAGCCTTCCAAGTTGTAAACATAAAGGAGATGGGGGAAATAAAACCAGTAGAGGAGACTGAGAAGATGCAGATAGAAAGGTAAAAGAAAAAAATCACAAAGGACTTTTGTGAAGGAAGTCACAGAGTGACTAACTTTGTCAAAGGCTACAGATAAGTCAAGGAAAACAAGGACCTACAAGGGCACACTGCATTTAGCAATGTGAAAATATTTGATGTACTTAATTAACAGTTGTGGTAGAGTGGTGAGGATGAAAATCAGAGTGGTTAAATGAGATGAGAGGAAATAAAGACAAAATGCTTTCATTTTGCCAGTGTTCTCGCCAAAATAATGGTAAGAAAGCATAGAAAATATGTATCTTTAAGTTATTAGTCAAAAAATGTACTGTCCTGAATTAATAATTCAAATAGAATTATGATTCTTTCATACTATAGATAATACAACTATATAGATAGCATGCTTCATGTACATCTGAAGGATAGATTAAAAATGAAGAAATTTATGTTATTTTTGTCTTCTCAAGCCTAATGGTGGTATTCTACATGATAATCTTGTTCTAATCAGAATGAAACCTGATGAAAATGGAAGATTTGGATTCAATGTAAAGGTAATCTGGAATTTATATTGTACTCAGTTTTCACATTAAAATGTCTTATTTTGTTAATATTTAACTTATTTAACTTTCTCATCAAGGGAGGATATGATCAGAAGATGCCTGTAATTGTGTCCCGAGTGGCACCAGGAACACCTGTGAGTTATTCAATCTTTATAAGTAAATTTAGTTTTCAAGAATATGTATTTATTTTGTCATTTTAAAAAGTTTAAATAAAGGAAAGTTTTTAATCATTTTTTTCATCTAGTATCAAATGTTGTCTAGATCTCTTAAATTTCTGGAAAGTTAGTTTTTATTCTATCTTTAAAGAAGCTATTTATGACTTTCAGTGCTTCCAAAGCGTTACCAGATTCTATCAAAACAACCTCATAGTTGGTTTGAAAACCACAATCAAGATTGATCAAGGACATCATGATTATGTGGTTTTGATTCTGGTTTTTAAGGACTTTGTGTCCAAGTAATGAGGTACTCAAGGAATACCCCGTCATAATCATAAACACAAAATTTATCAGAGAGCTATAGAGGTATCACACAAAAGCCAGAAACAGGAATGCATTCAGACTCGAAAAGAAACTTTAAAAATAATTAAGACTATCTACTTGTCATATCTGTTCTTTCTATGCAATTTTTCTGTTCTTTCTGTGAAAGCCAATTTGTACCTTGAATCAGCTTCATCTTTCGAGTTACTCCAGATAAACATAGACTAAATAAAATCAGTATACAAGTGGCAGCTTCAAGCCAAGACCTTGTAGCACCACCACCACACATATACATACTCAAACCAGATTGTCACTCCTAAATCTCCACTAAAAAGAACTTGTACAGCTACCTACCTCTAATCCTTAGTCCTCAGTGGTAGCCAGGTATGACTACTGATAACTTTCAGATATTTATGTTACCATCTTAATAACCAGAGTGGCTGAACTTCTTGGTCTAAATTGTAATGTTATAAGATGTGAAGCCTTAATAGATACAGCTTGGATCAGATGTCCTTGTTTGAAGAAAATGGTTAGAGATGGGACCAAGGATATTACATATAAAATGACTACTGGGATCATAAAGTGCATGTGAAGGAAGAGGACAACAATGGAAAAGACAACCTAAAATTTATTGAATGGGAAACATGTATGTGTTTGGGACTATGGATGAAGTAGTAAACATTTGCTAAATAATCTGTCATGTAGAAAGTTCATATTTAATATAGAAAAGAGAAAAGGATGATGTTATTTACAGGTAGAGATAAATATAAAAAGATACAGATAAAATGTTAAAAAGTATTGTTGCCTCTAGAGACAGGGCAATAGAATGGAGGAATACAAATGGTTTCCTAACAACCTCGTAGACAGTCAACTCTTAAACTGTCATTTGTAACTCTTCTAAAAACATTTAAAATAGAAATTTTTAAATCAATTGTCTTTTGATCATGTAATTCCACTTTTAGGAATTCCTCCTAATGAAATATTTGAGCTAGAAAACCATAGTTACTTGTATGAAAGTGTTCATTATAGTGTGAAATTGAGTAAAATCAAAATGTGCACCATCAGAGTTGATGAAAAAATTATGCCTTGCTTTGGGGTGATTTTGTAGTCCTATACAACTATGGAAATATGCCCATAAAATTGTATTATTTAAAAGTACAAGTTGTAATCTACATATGTTTGGCATGGTTTTTTTTTAATTTAAAATTGTGTACATATAAGAAAATATGAAAATATGTTAAAAGTG